AGTTAAAGTTTTATTCTATCAAAGATATTGAGCCATATTTGTAATATAAAATTAAACTGATTAAATTGAATAAAAGAATTATTAATAAAAGTTTGAGAAAAAGCATACAGAAATGTAATTACTGAACAATTTCAGACATAATGAATCATGTTTAAAGTCAATCTAACAAAGCAATCTAGCCAATACTATAAAATTGGAATACAGAGTTTCTAATTTAAAACACTTTTATCTATAATACAGTAAAAACAAATAAAAATATAAAATTATTAATGAACATTTATATATATATATATATATATACTTTACATTAACCTCTCAAATATTAAAAAGAAAATGCTAATTTTTAGAATAAAATTATTTGCTTAATCAAAATCATGTCTTAATTATATTAGAGAAATTAAAAAATGATTAATGAGAAAAAATTTAGTTACTAATAATTTTTATAAGGAAAGTATTCTAAACTTTTCATTATAATAGGAAACAAGTCAATAAAATTCAAGTTGCATAATGACTTTAGCAATTTCAGTGATTTAAAAATAAGAGTTTCAGCAGAAGCATTTCATCTTAAATGTATCTGTAAATAATGAATAAATAACTAACAACATTTAAATTGTTCAAATTGTTATAAATGAATTTATTCAAATAGTGATAGAATTCAATATTTATGAGATCAATTCTACAGTTAAAATTTTTGAAATCTTTAAGACACTTTTTATAAAATTGCTTTTAAACTTAATAACAGTTGTAAGTATTATCTTTAGGTTATCCAGTTATGATAAAAGCTTCTGCTGGTGGTGGAGGAAAAGGAATGAGAATTGCTTGGAATGATTCAGAAGCAATGTATGTATTATTAGGTTTAGTATTTTTTTTATATAGATAATATATTAATAACAGTAAAACATTTTATACTTTTTAGTTTATCTGTCATTATACAGTCGACCCCCCTATAAGATAGAGATACGTTCCATTCTTTAGGAATCCGATTTCTTATGAATCCTTCCAATCACAACCCGACACGTATCAAGTTTACAGACTACGGCTGTTTGAAAGATTTTCTTCCATAAAATTAATCGATTCTAGACTAATCCGACTCAACATTTCCAAAATACGTATATATTTTTTGGGAATAATCCGTATAAACTACGCTATAAACAAAAAATTGTAGGATTACTTACCGAGTGTCACCATTCGACATTGCCATTGCTCAACATTGTTTTCGTCGCGGNCCAAGGTTTTGTTGAGCTCTGAGAACAGAACTCCTTCCAGGATTTTAATTTATTATCTTTTATTTTGATTTTATACTCCTTACAATGTGCAAGGTAATCTTTCTTTTTCTGCCTTCTTTCTTCATCTATTTTGGCTCTTTGATAACGTCGGCGTAGCCGATTATTTTCTTTTCTTAGTTCGCCTAATTCTCTTGTCCACCAAGGTATATTTTTCTTTCCTTTCCTTTTCCTTGGAATAGTTTCGTCACATATCCTTATTATAGTCTCATGAATGTCACTAATAAACTTTTCTGCTTCCACACTGTCTTTGATGTTGTTAAGGTCTCGTAAATCCAAAGCCTCTGTCAATTTGCTATTAAAAAGAGACCAGTTCGCCCGATTTATTGCATATTGTGTTGTTATTGTTCCTGTAGTTTGTTCCTCTTGTTCCAGCTGGTAAAAGATGTAACTATGATCGCTGAGGCTACTTATTGGAGCAACTTTCCACTCTTGTATGATATTCAGCATCCTTCCATTACTAATTGTTACGTCGATCCAACTACGCCCTATCGGGGCATCGAACGTGGGCAGTGACTCTGGGTCGTTTACTATGTGAAGTTCATTCGAATTAACAAATTCTAACAGTTCATCAGCTCTCTTATCATTCCTAGGGTCACCCCACAGCTCCGAGTGGGCATTCAAATCTCCTGCTATGATAATATATTTATTTTTAAAAGTATTAACCAATTCATCAAGTTTTTTGAGTAACGGGTTAAGTGCATCCGTAATTGGGCAGTAGACACTCACCAACACTATGTTTTTATTATCAGTATTAATTTCGACACAAGTCATGAATTTGTTGCTCCAATTAGCATAGAATAGCACTGGTAAGTATTGATTGTTAACTATAATCATCGTTCTTGGGTTTTCTCCAGACGAGTGTAAGGTTCTGTACGACCCCCGGAGGCAGCTCGGAGTTCCTCTTCTACAGTAGGGTTCCTGCACCAGCGCTATATCCCTGTCTTCCATAGTTTTACATAGTACTGAGGTGGCCGCTATTGATTTTTCAGCGTTTATCTGTACTATTTTAATCCTGTTGGTAGTTTCATTATGATTAGTTATCGCCATAATCGGTTTTGGCAATAATTAGCTTTCTTACTTTCTGAATCAAGGGGCACCGTTTATCACATGCATTATGCTTTAGATCTTTAAGTTTATCCTTTTTGCAATTGCAGCATTCTGGTTGTCCTTTCTTTTGGCACTCTTTATATTTATGACCCTGTCCGCAATGACTGCAGACGGGCCCTCCCTCCGTACAATCCTTGGCCATATGGCCAATTTTACAACACTTGAAGCATTGTATCACATTTATATATTCATCGACTCCACATCTGGACCATCCCAGATTTATCTTTTTCCTGGGCAGGAGTAGCCTTCTAATCCGTGGGCTAACATCTGCCACCCAGTTTACTGTTTTCTTTTCTCTATTTCCGTATTTAAATTTTAATTCCACTTCTTGTTTATATTCTTCTATAGTTAGTTGTCCATTAATAACTTCATTTTGTTCATATAAGCAATCTAAAACTTCAGCCCTTGGGGCCTCAGCAGCAATCCCGTAGATAACTAATCTTGGTTTTCTTCTTGATGGCTCACGTGTCCACAGATCCGTCTTTTCTTCAATCGCTTTTTGTAGTTTCTGTTTTTCCTCTATTGTTGCAACCTCTATCGCCACTCCTCCTCTTCTTAATTTTCTCACAGCCTGTATGCCCACACCGATTTCGCGTGGGTTAATCCTTTTCTTCAACTGTTCTTTCGTTTGTTCCGCATTTCCATCTTCATTGGTCGGTTGGACCAATAGTATTTCTTTTTGTAAACGGGTCTTTTTAGCTGTTATTTGTGCATAGCTTGGCACAGGAGCGCTTGCCTTATTCAGCACTCTGTCTAACTTATCGTTAATAAGATCCATCGTTGTTTTCAATGACTTGCTTTCGTATTCTTTTAGTAGATCAATCAACTTGTTGATCTTCTCGCAGACGAAGGTCACGTGTTCTTTCGTGCCGAGTCGGCAATTGCTATTCTCTAGCATATACTTTTCAACTTCATCTCGGATACTTTCCGCGATGCCGACGTTGTCTTGAAGAGTGACTTCCATTTGTTGGGACGACAGCTCGTCATCCGATTCTGATATGTGAGGCCTCTTGGCCATAGTCCTGAAAAGGACTGTTATCGTGTTGAACAAAGCGCAGTAGCTGTTTGGCTTCACCCCTGAGGGGTTACTAACAGGCAGGACCACTGGGAGGTACAGCTACCGCTTCCCCTTGGTTTTGTTATAGCGCAAAAGCGAGCACACAAATCGCAAGGCAAATAAGGCCTGAATAGACGCACGATAAAGCTCTCGATAGCGCAAACAGTACAATTGGGGCACCCTGCCCAGTGTAAGTAGTATGTATCAAGTTTATAAAAAGAAATTGTATGAGGGAACTACAATAAGGGTCTAGAAGAGTCACATGCAGCTCACAACCCACAGTTTGGCCACCATGGGTATAGTGCATAAATGTTCAGATCTGCAGGAAAAAATGCCAAATTCTTTTGCCTGCACTTTGAATACACTTCACTTTACTTTTGTTAGGCTCCCCTAACAAAAGTAAAGTGAAGTGTATTCAAACTTTTACATTTCTTTTTACTTTTAAAACACCAGACTTGATTGCATTTTGCTTCTGGAAAACAATTGGTATACTAATGTTTTATCACCTGTTACAATGGCAAAACCTTTGGCTTCAGCTCCATCTCCAAATTTTTACAGCTCATGATACCATTTCATATGCTGTTCTTTATAATCTGGTGTCAAAATGAGTGATCGACAATGAATATTCATATAATCCAAGGTGATCATAAAGAATACTCCTGACATTTTCCAATAAAATCTGCAGATATTCCTGATTATTTTCATCTGTAAACTGAGCTCTTTTAACTTCACACATGTTACCTAAGCCCATTAAAAAGAGTTATTCAAAATCCTATAGATTAGTGATTCCCAAACTTTTTCGATCCACCGCCCCCTATGTTCCGTAAAGTTATACCCAATGCTTCCTAACTCATTTTCTCTTGTGTGAGAAAAGGATTGGAAATATTCTTAGGAAAACTTTTCTATGAATCTCACACTTTGTGCCCTTACTGTACATTGTTCTCAACATCTGGAAATCATTAAACGCAATGTTTCCTCTTATCAGCCCCAATTTTGCCTTTGGTCACCGTTCAATACCCTGCCTCCAGCGCCTCCTAGATCTACTCATTGCCCAGAAGGGGGCGTTATTGCCCACTTTGAGAAATACTGAGCTAAAATATAAGTCAATGTGTTAGAAATATTCAAGTTTTGACCTTCAGTAAAAAATAAAAAATATATAAAATGTCAACATTTTATATATATTCCGTCGAATTTTTATATATAGAATTTGTCTGTTGTCGACCCTCTAGATTTCCTTAATGCCCCCCAATTCTCTTTGAGCTTTCTACTGCCCCCCTGAAAGCCTCCAGTGCCCACAAGGGGGCGTTATCGCCCACTTTGAGAAACGCTGCTATAGATGAAATTAAATGCCCATTTTAATACATTTTTTCTTATATCTTGAATGTTTAGTTCTGATGGATTATCTTTTAATTGATGTAATTAAGTTATAATGAAGTACTGTACTACTATTTAATATTTTAGAGTATCTGTTTTTTAAGTGAAAATAAAGATTCTTGAAAACGTTAAAAAGTTTGTTGCTATATTTAACTCCTTAGTAATAACTTAAGCATGTTAAAAGATAAACTGTGATTTAAAAAAAAAGTGATATTGTCATGGAATAATTGTACATAGTAATTAAGATAAATTTGTAGTAATCTTAAAATTGTTTTTAAACCTTTTCTATAAATTATTTTTTATGTAAATAAAACAATTTTGAGATTATTGTTGCAGTAGTGATAGTGGTGATGTTCAAACAATATAATTAATAAAATAGTTTTAATAATACATAGGTAACAAGTAGTTATTAAAATACTTATTTATGTAATTTTAGTGAAGGATATAGATTCTCTTCTCAGGAAGCTGCATCCAGTTTTGGTGATGATAGACTTTTAGTTGAAAAATATGTTGATAATCCAAGACATATTGAAATACAGGTAAAATGAAAAATTATTTTTTAGTCAAAAATTATTATATGATTCTCTTCTCAGTTATAAAATGATATTGAAGCAAAATTTAAGCTGTCATTACATTACTAAATCTGTTTATGTTCATGCTAAATTAAATGACAGAATTAATTGATCTTCCACTTATTAAGAAATGATTAAACATTAGGGTACTTTTTTGAAGATAAGTTAATCATTAATAGTAGATATGTCAATAAAATTTGAATTGTGTAGTCAAAAAAAGAATGTATTTAGAGATATACTATATATTACTTTAAAATAATGTAAAAATAAGAAAAAACTTATTATACAGTTTTATTAAAACACTTTCAAAGAGTACTTATGCTCATAAAATGTTATTTATAAATGAAAGTTTTTTACTATAACAATCTTTTTATTAGAACTATATCATAGTTAATTATTAGAAAAAATTATTTCATGTATAATTTGGAAAGTTGTGAAGTGTGTGTGTGTATATAGATTTATTACTCAGCATTCTTAGCAAAACTTGTTATAAGAAAATTAGAAAAAATTATTCAAAAATTTGTCTGCTGTTATGTATCACATTTTATCTCTAAGATAAACATTCTATCTATTTCTTTTGTTACATATTTTTTTAATGATATTTGTCATAATTAATCATTATAAGTATAGTATTAATAATTAACTACAGATATTAATTAATATCATAAAATATATTAAATAATAATTTATTGCAGTAAAATATTATAGTTATTTCTTTCTAAATATTTTCCTGCAAAAAATCTGGCTGGGTTGTAAAAAACTTCATTATATGTATGTTCTTTGGAACTTAACATAAAGTTGCTATTTAGAACACTCATTTTAATGGAAAATGTAGATTTATTTTCTACGATTTACAATGGATATGCATTTTTGGCACTATGCCCCTCTTCAGTCCTTATTTTATTATGTAATTCATTATATTCTTCTTTTAAAAATAAGTAACATTTTTTAATTATATTAAATTTCTAGATACAACAATATAGCTGAATCTATATATTACATAAATTAAATTTCTAAAATCCTCTTTTATTAACATCATTAAAAAAACTTTTAAAAAGATTATAGATATAAACAAAAATGTTTTTAAATTTTACTATTTAGTTATGGTGTTGTGTGTAATATTTATATAAATTAAATTAGAATTTTTCAATATTTATAATTTAATGTTTATATTTATTTATTATCTTAAAATTTCTATATCTAATTTCTGTATGGATTATCATACATACATAATAAAAGTTCTATTATCACATTTATTTAAAACTGGAATGTTATATCTTTCATTTTCATTTAAATTTCTAAATTATTATTTTTTAAATAATCTTCTAATTTATATGTAATTTACACTAATTTTTATTCTCTCCTAACTTATTTAAAATGCTATTTTTCCTTATTCTTTTAATTCTATACATAAAATAAAAACCTGTTTTATGAAAAAAATTACATGTGATGTCTTTAATGTTTTAATATTTTTAAATAAAGTTAATTTTAATTCAAAAATAGGTGTATAAAAATTATATATTTTCACAAGCCTGATTTATAAGTAATATTTAACATAAGATTTTATTTATCTACTTATTCAAATACTCAGAAAAATTAATAAAATTTTAATTTAAAGCAAAAATCTTAAAATAGAAATAGCAATATTTATTAATAATATTTTTTATCAATTATATCAGATGAAGTTGTTTTAATTTACTTGATACAGTAGATAAAAATATAAAGAGCGCCATAAAAAATGTAGACAAATAAATTGTTTAAATTATTATAATATTGTTTTATATTTTTAGAAATTTCATTACAAAATTTTTCATCTTATATGTTATTTGCTGGTCATAATTTTGTAAAATTTGAGTATTGATAATAAAGGTTCCTTTTATTTATGCAATCCCCATCATTTAAATGTTTGCTACTCAATATATAAAACAACTTTATTAACCGATATTGCCAATAGAATAAATTATTAGCTTAAAAAGGAGAGAAAAAAATACAAATAATTATTTTACTTAGGCTTATTTTAACTGATTTAATCTTTGTTATGTATATAGCACTAATTTAAAAAAATGAAAATTATAATACCGGGAATAAAGGGGGAACCATCTGCAGAGCTGCAAAGGGATCTAATAGACATAACTTTTCACAAGGAATCTAATGGTGCAATTTAAAATTACCAAAATGGCACTTCTGCTTAATCTTTCAATAGTGGGTTAGTCAGATGTGGCGCTACCACTTAGTTGTGGAGAATAAACGTGGGAAATTTTTAAAGTATTTTTCCATGCATTTTTTCTCATTACCATTTCAAAAAAAGATTTTGTAAACAGTTATGTCTAGTAAAGAAAAGTCTTTTTTTATTGTTACATAATTCATTTTTTACATGAATTTTTTTTTGCGGTTGTTTTTGGCGATACTCCCAAAAGAATTTAACAGATATATCCATCCTTCATTGTTGAGTGGTTAATTATTAATTAAAATATAGTGAGACTGCCCTGTTTTCATTTCAATGTAAATAAATCTTGCTGTTAATAACCTTGGNCTCGTGGAATGCATCGCATCCACTCCTCAATCTTATCGCTAGGAGCACGGAAGAAATGTCTCTTCTCGTTCGATGACTTATATCCTGCCTTGCATCCTGGCACAAAGCACGTTGGCATTTTTATGGAGCTAAAAAAACAATTATTATAGGTCAAAATCACTGACTTCAGTATATACCTAGCAAGAACAACGATCTCCTGCTAACAGTGGCGCCGACTAGCGGCAAATATTGTCTCTAGCTAAGTTTGAACTATTAGTCGAAAGACCAGTTAATCTACCGACTCTGCTATAACACATTAACACTTCAGTCTTATCTGTACTCTTCCCATTCTGTGTTCTCATATTTATTTATAGTATCGAGTGAAGTATAATAGTATATAAAACATATTATGCTAGATAAAATACAACAAAAACAAAATGGAGTATTTTTGATAAAACGCGACGATACTTTTGTCTTCAATTTACTGAAATCTTTTCTTTAATATATGAAATAAGTCGTCTCTTTTCTGCATAATGTTCCATAAAAACATTTCATTATATCATAAAATCTTTTTGATCATTACAGAAATACTTTCCTACAAGATTATACATCGGACTTCATGCTTAAACGACTTACGCATGAAGTCGGATGTATAATCTTGTAGGAATAAACAAAATTTTTCAGGGAAATGAGACAAATAGGCCATTTGCCAAGGTAAAATACCTCCTAGAAGATCCTTTGTAGGAAATTGGCTCCTATTTAGGCGATACAAACGTGAAGACAACCCGGAAAACTTCACTTGGCAATCCGTTGGCCAAGCGAGAAACCAAAACCAACTACCAACGGTCAATCAATGGTCAGTGGTTTTATCAATTCGGCCATTGGTGGGCCGAGGATCCATTAATCGTCACGAAATTTTTGAATAATTGACGCGTCGTTATTGAATTTGGTATTATTCTAAGACAACTTCACGATTTTAAATAACATAACATTATTTCTCGTTAAGTAAATAATANTATTTTCCTGCAAAAAATCTGGCTGGGTTGTAAAAAACTTCATTATATGTATGTTCTTTGGAACTTAACATAAAGTTGCTATTTAGAACACTCATTTTAATGGAAAATGTAGATTTATTTTCTACGATTTACAATGGATATGCATTTTTGGCACTATGCCCCTCTTCAGTCCTTATTTTATTATGTAATTCATTATATTCTTCTTTTAAAAATAAGTAACATTTTTTAATTATATTAAATTTCTAGATACAACAATATAGCTGAATCTATATATTACATAAATTAAATTTCTAAAATCCTCTTTTATTAACATCATTAAAAAAACTTTTAAAAAGATTATAGATATAAACAAAAATGTTTTTAAATTTTACTATTTAGTTATGGTGTTGTGTGTAATATTTATATAAATTAAATTAGAATTTTTCAATATTTATAATTTAATGTTTATATTTATTTATTATCTTAAAATTTCTATATCTAATTTCTGTATGGATTATCATACATACATAATAAAAGTTCTATTATCACATTTATTTAAAACTGGAATGTTATATCTTTCATTTTCATTTAAATTTCTAAATTATTATTTTTTAAATAATCTTCTAATTTATATGTAATTTACACTAATTTTTATTCTCTCCTAACTTATTTAAAATGCTATTTTTCCTTATTCTTTTAATTCTATACATAAAATAAAAACCTGTTTTATGAAAAAAATTACATGTGATGTCTTTAATGTTTTAATATTTTTAAATAAAGTTAATTTTAATTCAAAAATAGGTGTATAAAAATTATATATTTTCACAAGCCTGATTTATAAGTAATATTTAACATAAGATTTTATTTATCTACTTATTCAAATACTCAGAAAAATTAATAAAATTTTAATTTAAAGCAAAAATCTTAAAATAGAAATAGCAATATTTATTAATAATATTTTTTATCAATTATATCAGATGAAGTTGTTTTAATTTACTTGATACAGTAGATAAAAATATAAAGAGCGCCATAAAAAATGTAGACAAATAAATTGTTTAAATTATTATAATATTGTTTTATATTTTTAGAAATTTCATTACAAAATTTTTCATCTTATATGTTATTTGCTGGTCATAATTTTGTAAAATTTGAGTATTGATAATAAAGGTTCCTTTTATTTATGCAATCCCCATCATTTAAATGTTTGCTACTCAATATATAAAACAACTTTATTAACCGATATTGCCAATAGAATAAATTATTAGCTTAAAAAGGAGAGAAAAAAATACAAATAATTATTTTACTTAGGCTTATTTTAACTGATTTAATCTTTGTTATGTATATAGCACTAATTTAAAAAAATGAAAATTATAATACCGGGAATAAAGGGGGAACCATCTGCAGAGCTGCAAAGGGATCTAATAGACATAACTTTTCACAAGGAATCTAATGGTGCAATTTAAAATTACCAAAATGGCACTTCTGCTTAATCTTTCAATAGTGGGTTAGTCAGATGTGGCGCTACCACTTAGTTGTGGAGAATAAACGTGGGAAATTTTTAAAGTATTTTTCCATGCATTTTTTCTCATTACCATTTCAAAAAAAGATTTTGTAAACAGTTATGTCTAGTAAAGAAAAGTCTTTTTTTATTGTTACATAATTCATTTTTTACATGAATTTTTTTTTGCGGTTGTTTTTGGCGATACTCCCAAAAGAATTTAACAGATATATCCATCCTTCATTGTTGAGTGGTTAATTATTAATTAAAATATAGTGAGACTGCCCTGTTTTCATTTCAATGTAAATAAATCTTGCTGTTAATAACCTTGGGGACATTAGAGACAAAGAATCTGGTAATTTCTTCTAAAAAATAGGAATAAAAATTGTGATTTGATATTTCTGTGAATATTGTGTTCACCCAAAAAATGGAAAAATTACATATTTATTTCAGAGGAATATTAATGAATTAATTAAATTTGGATCATTTTATATCACATTACATATTTCATTATGTTTTTTAGCTGTTTCTGTCAAATAAGTGATCTTATAAACTTCTGTTTTATTGCAGTTTAGCTATGTTTCACATTTTACTTAGTCATTATTTATATTAAGTTTTAATTAATTTATTAATTGATTTTGATTGTTATTTATATTCAAAAAATACCATAATAATTTTAATATGTTACTTGTTGTCAAATCAAAAGAAGCTGTAGTTCAACTTTGTTTTAATTTTATTTAAGAAATTTCTTTCAATGACTCTCAAGTCAGAAATTTTTACTATCATTTTGAATGTACTTCCTCTTTGATGAATCTTGCCCTGGATGCAAATTAGTATTCTTTGTAAATATTAATAGTAACAAAGAACCAGATTTATTTTGTAAATGAGGAGTATTTTTTCCTGACATAGAACTTTTTGAGAATAAAATTCACAAACAACAAAAAGTGATCATAAAATCAAACTTTTAGATAGTTACATATTTAGTTTTTGTAAATATTTTTAAAACTCATTAGTGTCTGAAGTTGCAAATTCTATTTTTCAAAATATTTCTAGATTTAAAAATTTTATTTTTTAAATATACAATTGGCAATTTAACAAAAATATAAAAATATTTAGACAACTTTTATCTGATATTAATCAATGGGAAACCACTTGCTTTTTTTAACCTGGGCAATGCCAGGTTTGTCTGCTAGTTAATCTACATAATGATATTGATGACTGTAGTATTTTGGATATTGTAAATTGCAAGTAATTTGCCAAAATTTTGAATAATATCTAAAACATAAATTATACTAAAGATGGTTTCTGATAGATCAAGAAGATGAAGATTACATAGAAAAAAAATTATCATTTGATGAAATAAGATAGCTGTGACAGGAGTTAGATAAGTAGCAAACAAATAATATAGATTTGGTGGAAATATGTCTATTACTGCTATTTTAAACTCTGACTATTTGTTATTTTAATTATTAAAGATTTGATAATGTTGCTGATTAAATATTTTAATATACATGCAGGAAAAAATAAATAATAATAATAATAATGAAAAGATTATACATTTTATAGGTATTTTGCTTCTAATTAACTATAATATAGTTCCCAAAGAAAAATTTATTGAGAAACTGGAAATAACTATCAAAATGATGTTGTAGCATCAAATATTAATAAAAAATTAAGTGTTAATTGATCAATTTTTAAACAAATAATGGAATGAATTTATTTTTGGAATCATAACTATCTTATTTCCTACTGTAGTTTAAATATAGAAGGAAATAAGCTAGTATAGTTTATAGTTTTTCAAAGTTTTGATATCCATGTACCACTTTCTTAAATTTTCTTAAGTACTAAATACTTGTCAAAAAATTATTTTTGTAAACTACTCAAATGCAGCACTTATCACAACTTCAGTAGGAGAATATAAAAAATGTATAATTTATTGGGAAATATACACATTCAAAATAATTCATTACTACAGTATTTTTTCTTAATAATAATTCTATATGTCAGTGGTACATAGCCAAAAATGGCCACATACCCTGTAGACCTTTTGCATACCTCCAGGGGTACACACACCATACTTTGAGAAACACTGCTTTAAATAATGTAACTTGTAAAAGCAAATTTAACAAACATGGTGATGAATAAAATAAAACTTTGGAAATTACTTTTATTAAATATGTCTAAAAAGGAAAAATAATTATCATCTTAAATGTCTTTTCTAGATATTCTCTTTCTTTAATGATAGTTCTTCATACTTTATTACTTTATAAATGATAATCTAGAATAAGCTTATATTACTGTTTTATCAAATATAAATTTTATATAGTTAATTTAATGAAAATTAGGTTCTTTGTGATAAGCATGGCAATGCTATCCATTTGAATGAAAGAGAATGTTCAATCCAAAGACGAAATCAAAAAGTTATTGAAGAAGCTCCGAGGTAAGAATAATTGAATATTTATATGCAATTTTAAATGTTACTACTAATGATATTTATAAAATTTATAAATAAAATAATGATTACTTTCTTAAATTATAAATACATCATCAATTCATACATATAAATTTAGATAAAATGGTATTTGTGTTTCACTTTTTCATGTTTAATGAAATATTAAAATAAACATAATTTCATGAATAAATGAATAAATATACTATTATTTTAGCACATTTGTAGATCCTGACTTAAGGCATGCTATGGGAGAACAGGCAAAATCATTGGCTCTTGCTGTAGGTTATGATTCAGCTGGTAAGTAAAATTTAATCAAGCTTTAATAACATATTACAATTTAAAATTAATATATAGAAGAGTCAAAAATAAACTGAGCTTTTAATGTTGCTTAGCAATGACTAGAATTGTAAGCATATGTGCATTTAAACATTTTCTTAGATATGTTAGTACAGTAAGAATGTGGGGGATGCATTTCTAGACAACAAAGTGTTAAATGAAACAGCGTTAAACGAGATAATTTTAACATAGAGTAAATAGGTATAAGGGAACACATGACTGAAAATAAAAAAAAATTTACTTTAATTTTAAGTTATTTTTATATTAATTTGTATAATAATATATGTTAAATAACACATAAACACATGCACACAGAAATGTATAATAATATATTAATAGTTCATTTTTTGTGATGAAGGACCTGACTTTTCTGAAATTCTTGTTTTTATTGAAATAAAGTCATGAAATTTCATTTGTCTCTTTTTTTCTTTCCTTAAGCAAATGTTGGTAGCAGAAGATCGCATCCAAAACGCCTTGTTTTGTTTTTGCACTCTTTTCAAAAGCTAGATCATTTGCTACAATTTAATCAATGATTTTGGTTATCATTACCAAACTTTTACTAAGGAAATCTGTAGAGAAATTTTTTGGGTTCTTCATTTTCAGAATCTCTATTTTCCAGTTCTACATGGATTCCTGGTTCTGCCAGTTCTTGAAGTTTGTCATTGATAAGATTCTCACCAGAAACTTGCAGTAACTCGTCAATATCCTGTTTGTCTACATCTCCTAGTCCTGCTGTATCGATTAGGTTGAGTTTGGTCATCCTAATGATATAGCGATAGGATCTTCTCATTGAGAATTCTTGGATATCTTCAGCCATAACTTCTTCCACACTTCGTCCGTGCATTTATCAGTTAATTCTTGCCAAGCGAAGCCGATATTGCCTATGGCATCTATGATGTTATATTTTTTCCAAAATTGCATCAAACAAACATAGATTTAAAGAAAGTACACCTTTTTGACACCTTTTTCTGATTGATTCGTGTTCGTAAATAATTGTAGTATCAATATGTAAATAATTGTAGTACGAATCAATAAAATGCCATGATAATTTAAATTGGCATAAATTTTGAGCTTTTTTTTTTAGGCTTTGAGCAGACTGTATTATATTGAATCAGCATTAAACTGGGTCTTACTGTACTTATTCATTGTGTGGTAGATGCCTGTAATTGGATGATTAGAGCACAAACATAAAAGTGTTGGAGTATATAGGTGTGTAGTGTCAGAATTCTGTATCATGTGCAGTGAATCAACATTAAATTCTGCATCAATCTTGGTAAAAATGCTCTTGAAATATTTAATCTGCCTACAGTAATGGTGCCATGTCACACACACAAATATAAAAATGACAGAAGTATTTTAAAGAAGGCTGTGAACTAATAGAGGACAATCTCCATCCAGTTAGGCTCTCTTCAGCAAGAAACAAAGAAATGATTTTGTAAGTTTGTGAAGTGATCAAAAGAAACTATAGACAATCAATAGATGATCTTGTTGATATTTTGGAAATTTTGAATGGCTCTGTCTTTGCTATTTTTCATAATGATTTCAAAGTGCATTGCATCTTTTCTCACATCATTCCAAGAAAGTTAACAGAGGAACAACTAAATAAGATACTCGTCAGTAGAAAACTGATTGATTCTATTAGTAAAAACCTAGATAACCTAAACAGAATGATTACTGGCAAAGAAATTGATTTATTTTAAGTGATCCAAAGAGTATATGTGTGTCACCATTATGGAAATTAGTCTCTTCACCAATGCAGAAAAAATTTATCTTAACATATCTGTGGAAAAGTAATGCTTATGGCTTGTTTTGATAGATTGTTTGGTAATGCCTGGTGTATTATGAGTTTTTCCTGATAACAGACCATTAACAAGGAGTCCTACAATGACATTCTCAGTTACCTTTGTAATGTAGCATGATGAAAAAAGCCTCATCTCTGATAAACAAGAAGGTAGATTCTTTATTGTAACAATGTACTTTCACAGTCTTCTTACTTAATGGACCTCAATTCTGCAGACTCACATCTTCATCAAAATGGAAACTCTACTGAAGAATCACACATTCAAGTTAGAGAAAAAAATGAAAAGTCTGAAATTATACAAAATTGATTAAAATCTAATAAGGCAGAAATCTAAACTTTTAATATTTTACAATTTATTTATTTTTGAAAATAAATATTCAATTATTTTTTTGAAGAATAATTCAATATTTTTAATTTATTTGGTCTTTTAAAATGTATTTATAAACTGTCAAGCACTTCTTTAATGTCTTCATTTGTTTGATGTTCATTTGTTCAATTCTCTTTAACGCAATTCTTTATCATTAATATATTTGAATTTTTTCTAATTAGGTACAGTGGAATTCCTTGTTGATTCACAAAAAAATTTTTATTTTTTGGAAATGAATACAAGATTACAAGTAAGTAAATCATTTTTTAAATGAAATTCTATTAAATAATCATTAACCAAAGCACTTTATTTTCTTTAAAATATATTAAACTTTTATTTTAAAACTGTTAAAAATATATATATATATATTTTAAATTTACAAGTTTAAAATGAACATCTAATCATTGGTATAGGCTTGCATATAAATTCATAAAAGTTTCCTCAATCTGCCATTATTTTTTTAGCAAGTTTTTTAATTCAGTTTGGTATCATGAGGTAAAGCTTAATGATTGAAAATAACATGGAATAAATATGTGAAAATAGTGAATTAACATTGCACAATACAGGAAATCCTTGTTAATTTGAACTTGGATAGTTCGAAATCACATCAGTTTGTAACCGTACTTTTGTTCCAGCAATATAGAGATTTACACATTAAGGAATTTGATTAGTTTGAAATACAACTACTTCAAAATTTTAAGTGAAAATTCTATCTGAACTGTGATATGTTTATGTGTTTGTTTAGATCAAAGTGCCTCCATACTATAAGATGAGAATAAACCAAGAACAACTCTAATCTCATCAATATGACTTTGCTTTTACAGTAACACATTTTCAGGAGTCACCTTACCCATGGACTACCTTTTTTTTCTCTTATCTCATAAAATATGGCTGGTTTTCAGGATTGCAAGATTGGGCTACAAGCAGCAGATTGAGATATTTGTAGGACTCTAGGCTACTACATTTGGGTAATTTACTATCTTTTTGGTCACTTTAAAAATAATTTAAGGCTACATTTCAAGGAATTCTGCTTTATTTTTTATAAAACTATCTGGCAATCTGTGAGGTTCTCACTGGACATGCTGTTTACTTGCCATTTATTTACAATATTATTAATAATTATTAATTACAAAATAACATTCTGTATATGTATCCATATTTTTTTTCCTTAATAAATCGCATCAATTACAGGGCATTTGGCATATTGTACAGGAATACTGTATGCAGATCTCAGATAATTTGAAACTCGATAATTTGAAGTCACAATTATTTCGTCCCTTGAATTTCAAATGAACAAGGATTTTCTGTATTATCAAATTTTTTATATTATTTAAGATCTAAAATTTTTGTTTTTTAGAAATTATTTTCATAAAAACTATTATTTTTAATTGTAAAAATTTCTAATTCCATTTACATATTATCCAGAATTCTTTAATATTTTTTATTTTTTTGATTGAACATTATTTAATTTTTATATTCAACACAGATTTATAAAAAATTTCATGTTAATAGTTACAAAATGCATTTTAGGTTTATATAATTCCATCAATTGTAAAGTTACAACAATATATGTATAAAATTATATATTATATGAAAGATAAAATAAGCCAAAAAAATTGTTTTGAATTAATATTATATATTAAACAGAGGACTTCCAAATATTCCAAATATTTAAAATATAAGATAAAAATGATTGGCAAAAGTTTAAAAAAGTAATGCCTTCATTATAAAAAATTAGAAATAATATATCATCCAGTGTTAAATATAAAATAGATTTTCTTGGAGCATTTATTTTAGGAACTGAATTCAATAGTAAAATTATTTGGATTCTTTTAGTGGCAATAAAATTTTTCAGAACATTTCAAGAACTTTTTCTTTTTCACAATTTTTCATAAATTTTAATTGTTACGTTTTTAAATAAAAAAAGGTAGGTAATTTAAGATGTTTAGACAATGAAATTTTTAGTTCTTTTATAATTTGGTACAAACTTTTGTTAATTTAAAGATTTTTTTGTAAAGAAAGAAAACTATCAGAAAATATACAACCAAATTTATTATCTGAAACATACATTTTTGAAAGCAATTTCAATATGAAGAATTTGGTGCTTGTAAGATTGCACTGAAATTTTTTAATAAAGATCACTAAACTGTATAACCATAGAAGAACATATATGACTCCACTTAAACATACAAAACAGTTGCTGGGAATGGGGTCACTTCCTACTTCCCACTTTTACTACACTTTTTTTACTGTTTCAAAAAATTGTAATATTCAGATTATTTGATTCAGGGATTACAATAAGTACTAAAGAACATTTTCATTGTAGCAGGAATTTGAATACTGGAATATAACTATAACTACATTATTTTAAAAACTTATTTTTATTATATATTAAAATAGAAATAATAAATATTATTCACCTCTTTTTTCAAAGTTAACTGTAGAATATAGGAAAAAACCAAAAGGAGAAATTCTCACAGACTTTCCTTATTTTCGTATTAAATTGAATCTTATTCAATACAATTAGAAAATTTTGTTACTATGGAAATAATAGAAATGCTTAGCTTTAGCATTTGAAATAATATTTAACAATAAATCGTTAAAATTTTCAACAATGAATTTTCTTGTTTAAATATTTTATTCCTTATTTGAAGATTTGTTTATAATCTGATCTGAAGACTCTTTGAATGATTTTAATAAAAAGTATCATCAATATATCTGAATTTATGGTCTTGAACTTTTAAAAATTTTTTTTTTTTTTTTTTAAATTTAAAGTGATTTTTGAATTCTGGAAATTTACAGAGCTAGTTCACATCTATTAATTAATGTTATCAGTTTATTAAAAAATTTTAAAATTAATTTTAAAAAGAGATAATAAATTATATAAAATTAAATTTGTATTAAATTAAAATAACTTGTTAATAAAATTTTTTCAAATTCCATTTCTATTATAGGCCAAATGTCAGAGAAAAATATTTTTGCTGTTATACAATGCAATTAAGGTTTTTTATCAGTTTATTTCTTATCAATTACTAATTTTTATTTAATGAAGTTTTGCAATTGAATATAACAATAAAACTGTACTAGGATTGTTATAATAATTATAGTACAATTTTATTATTATATTCAATTGGTAAGATAAATGATCCAAAAAAATTCACTTTATTCCTAATATTAGACAATACATCATTGCTGTATTTTTGTATTGACAACATTACTTTTTTGACTTGGGTAATATTTTTCACTTTCTATTTCTGCATGGTTAAAAATTCTTTGCTTAATATTTGATATAACTTTAAATTTTGCAAACAGTTTGTTTTTATTTACTAGTTTCTTCTTTTAAATAATAAACAAGTTTTTGGATATATTTTTATTATCTTACAACCAAATATAAATATGTATATCAAAAATTAATCTTGTAATTAAAATAATATATTTTACAAATTCAAATTGTTTTAAATAAAATGGTCCATTTTAGTTTTTATGGATTTTTATATTTTTAATAAAATATTTAGTTAGTGCATGTGAAATTGCCAATTGCAAGTAGTGTAGAGGATAGAATCAGAGCTGTTAAAACTAGTATTTTTAATGGCAACAAGAGGAAGAGGATTGTTCTTCAGTTTTTAAAAAGAAATCAGAGATAATTGTTAGAGCAGGGATGCACAACCTTTTCTGAAGAAGGGCCAAATTAGGATTAAGTTTACTGACTGGGGGCCGGACCTCCAAGTGATTAATGAGATGGCTGAGATTGGATGCTGGCGGCAATCTTCTTGATGTCTGGCGAATGGCAGATATTGAAACAGCCAGCAGATTTTCCAAATTCTCGTTGGTTAACCTGTTCTGTGTTTTGCACTTGTTTAAATTCATAAGCGAAAATGCTTGTTCGCATACATAGGTACTGCCAAACATGCTTGTACAAAATCGAGCATTGTCTTTCAGTTTTGGGAATGATGTATCTGGCAGTTTTTTGTAGAATATGAGGAGATTAGAATTTTTAAACTGTGATTTCAATTCATCACTGCACTGGATGTCTATCAACTCAAGTTGGACATCTGGAGGGGCATCTTCCACTTTCACATCAAATGGAGTTGAAAAAAGTTGCAGGTAGATCTTGTATTTCTGGAATTCACCAAACCTCTCATTGAATGATGTAAGGAGGGTGTTAACTTGGTCAGAGTAATCCATCTTCATATGTGGGTATTTCTCTTTCATGGCCTTGCAATGTGGAAAGTGTGTAAAGTTCTCTGATTGCATGTGGGACTTGAAAAGTGATAGTTTGGTCATAAATGCATTGATGTTACTTGTCAACTGAGAAACAAGTTGCATCTTTCCCTGCAATCTCAAATTAAGGTCGTTTAGATAAGCAGTAATGTCAGCAAGGAAAGCTAAATCACACTGCCATCTTTGTCCCTCCAAATTCCTTGTAGTGTTCCCCCGTTCTTTGAGGAAAGTGATAATAGGCCCCAATAGCTCCACAAATCTCTTGAGGACTGTTGCCTTGCTCAGCCAACGAACTTCAGTATACGTGGGCAGGTCAGCATAATCAGCATCTATTTCTTCAAGAAATGATGTGAAGAGTCGATGGTTGAGTCCATGACGGCGGATTAAGTTCACAGTATCATAGACATCTTTCAGCAGACGTTCAAATCCCAGCTTCTTTGCACAAAGTTGCTGTTGGTGAATTATGCAATGATACTGGACTAACTCCTTTTGCCTGTCCCCAAGGTGGTTTTTCAGCAAGGTGACCATGCCATTCTCACATCCAACCATAGATGGTGCTCCATCAGTGGCAATGCTGGATAGCTTGTCAAAGTCCAGTGCTGATTTGTTGCAAACGCTCAATAAACCAGTAAGTAAGTCAGCACCAGTTGTATGTCCAGAAAGTGATGCCATGCCAAGAAATTCTTCATTCACAATAAAATCTAGTGAAACACTTCTAATAAACACAATCACTTGTGCTGTTGTTGATATGTCAGTGGATTCATCCACAGCCAAAGAAAAATAAGCACAGTTTGCAACTAAAATATTAAGTTGGCCAGAAATGTCTGATGCAATTTGCGAGATTCTTTGTTGTATCGTCATGTGGTTAAGACTGATTGTTTGAAAACACTGTCTTCTCAGGACACATCTCACTTGCGATGATAAGACACTTTTTTATCATATCGCCATCTGTGAAAGGTTTCCCATTCTTGGCTATTAAAGCAGATATTTCTAGGCTGGCTTCAACAGCCGCATCCAATTCTCCAGATTGTTTCTTGAACACATTTTGTTGGCTGATTAGTGATCGTCGTAACGATTCGATTTTCCGTTTGCGTTCCGTACCTTGCAGAAGGAAATCCTTGTGTTGGCTTTCATGATGTCGCTTCAGGTTGAATTCTTTTGGCACTGCTATTGTTCCATTGCACAAAAGGCAAATAATGCTGTTGTTCTGTTGCACAAAACAGTACTTGTTAGTCCACACTTCCACTTCTTGAAACTGATGATTCTCGCGATTGACCTTGCGTTTAATGCCCGGCGCCATACTGTTCACTCTGCAAAACAATGTCTCATTGTGCCGAAAATTCTGAGGCCCGCAACAAATCATGTTTGAGATAAGGCAAGCTAGACTACCACGTGCTTTGTTCTGTATCCACTCTGACCAAAGACTAAAGAGGCGGGGACAGAAGACTATTATGCACACGTGGCCAGGCAGGTCTTAATTCGTTCGACCCCTGTCCGGGCGTCTCCACCATTTCTCAGAATTTGTGAGTCAGATCGTCAACATGCCAGGTGCAGGACACTAATCCATCATAAATGTGGTTACCATTCTTACCTAAATTATATTTATGGCCCGTCAGTTTTACCCCCGTGTTCAGAAATGAATCAAAAGTGATTAACACAGTGCAGTGGAAAATCTGAATATTTTAAATATAATTATTAAAATTGCGATATCTCGTTTCAAATTGGCACTAGAATCAATCTGAATTTTTTTTTTTTTCTGTCCTAAATATATCACAGTTTACGACTGTTAAATTTCAAATAAAATAAAAATTAAAAATAATAATTTAATTTTAAATTTACGAAAAAAAGAATGTAAAAATAAAAGTAAATAAAAAGTTCCAATTAATTTACTACTTAAATAACCTAAATATATCTGTTTTCTTTCAAACAAAAAAAACCGCAGCTTTCTAGCTACACGGAATCATTTTACAACCCTCTTTGTTGACAAGTTTATGGCTTGACGCGGTTTGTAATAATTATTAAATCCAAAATATTTTAATGCAAATGGCTTCCTTTTAGTCGTAATGACTCTATTCCAACTACAGTATTAATTTTCTTGGTCCAACTTAATAATAATAAATTTGATGTGAAAAATTTTTTTTCTATTCTTTGTCTATGGAGAGATATTGTTGTAAATTATTGGTTTTATAGCTTTTTGTACATTCCTTTTTGAACTCTGGTTAGTTTTTTCTAGCTTGAATGACATTAGGTTGACGAATAAGCGTCTTTTCAGAAAAGATTGATTCAAATTCGACTATACCAATCAGAATCTAGAATGTAAACAAATGCTAAAAAATCATTATTTTCATGGTTTTTCAGCGCTATTTTCACTGTTTTCACTTATTTTCGTTATTTAACACTATTTAAACGAATAAGCAAGTTTTCCGAAGCATAAAATTGAAGATTTCCCGCCAAAATAGAAACTTTCTGATAACATCGGAAATGACGTTCTAACATCATTTTATTCTATTTGATTCTTCAAAAAATCGTTATAATACTATGTATTAGACTTAAAATATTGGATATCTAAACCAGAAAGTGTTAGCTAGAAATAGACTTATTTATAGAACAACCCCCCCATTTCTCACCTCAGGGAAAGTCATAAAACAGTTGGGTGCTAATGACTGTGAAAGGGAAAAAGTTCTACACTTAGAAACTTGGAAAGAAGGGATTTGGCCTGTACCGTCCGCGGGCCGCATAAACATTGATAGGGAGCGTATGTGGCCCGCGGGCCGCAGGTTGTGCACCCCTGGTTAGAGCAATGATTCTCAATCTTTTTTTTGTCATGATACACTTTTAATAATTTAAGAATTTGGTGGCGCGCACAGTTACTTTGGTAATGTGAAATCTGCGATTTTTACATAGTTGTTGGAAAAACCTTTGTAAACAACTCTGATGGGAAAAAACCACTCTTGGTGAGAATTAGATTGGATGTCATTGTTTGTTTTCACAATTAGGTGGGAAAGTTGACACTTGGGTGGTAGGAATGCACCATTGATGTCAACAGATGATGATCACATGACTCCTTTCCCACAAAGAACGTATAAAAGCTCGAGCCCCTGGAAGCTCAGTGCAATCCAAGTTATACTTGTTAATGTGTACATCTTGTCTCCATATACCGGACACAACAACCAAAAGGAGAAGACATCAACATACGACAGACCACAACTTCGAACTTCCATACTTATCGCCATACTATAGTTCCTGCACCGACTACTATTTCTACGACCCATTCAACTCATACCATTCATTTCCTCATAGAGGCATTTTTATTTAGAGCTTTGAGAACGCTCTCAAAATAGCTGTTAAGAGCGGCCCTTTGTATAGTTAACTCATATTTAACTGCATTTAACTTCTATATTATTATCGCCTTTTGTAATTAGGATTAGTTATTCAATAAATGCTTTGTTATTTTGTTAAACCTGTTACCTGTCGGCTTCCTCACCTCCCTCACCTTGCAATAAACAGCCATCCGACGACTCCAAGACCGGTCTTTGCAGACTGTGCAGTGTCAGTGGTCATTAGGGATCATCCCAGTGGCCCTCTGCTTGCTTCACAGTAAGTATTGCAGGACAACCGGTGATGTTATAACAGTGATTTTTAAATGCAGTTGGTTATTTAGGTCATGTTTACTAAATGCCTTGGTAACTACTGGCAGTTACTGGTAACACTGGTTACAATTTCCAAACGTGCCCTATTAAGGTAGAACTAATTGAACTACTTGTCTGACGTCACTTTATGTATGGGTATTCGCAGTGGTAATACACTTCAAAAATCTTGCAGCACAGTAGTTGAGAATCACTGTGTTAAAGTATATAAACAGAATAGTTTTCCTTAATGTCTTTTTCGTAAGTAGTAAACTGAGTCTTTTCTTGATTACATAGTAACATACTCTGAAAAGTGGATACTGTATGGTAACAGACAAGTCTTTAACGTTGTTGAAAGCAGGTGAATCTTTATGATCAGCTTCAAAACAAGTTCTTTGTCCTATAAAAGTTGTGCTTATTGTATGGTGGTTATAATAGGAAATTATATATTGTTTAAGAATTAAAGAACTAGAAGAACTGGTTTAAAAAGGATTGAGAAACTGATGAAACAATAACAGCAAAAAAGTACTATACCAAATTGCAAATCATTCTTGAAAAATTAAAGTTAATGCAGTTAGTATTAGTGAATTGTAAGAATGTGTGCCATTCGCATGACAATGCTAGATCTCATGTTACATAAATATCTATAAAAACTGCATAGACTGCAATATCAAACCCTGTCCACTATACTCATTAGTTATTTCTCCAATAGACTTTTATTTATTCAGGAATTTGGATAATTATAAAGATTAAAAGTAAAAAATACTTTCACTTGAACTTTCCATTTAAAGCACTAATTCATATATACCAACACAGTATTATTATTTATAAAATATTACAATAAAGAATTATGAATTTGAAATCTGTGTGTAATATAAAATTAAATATATTTAAATATTTTTGGTTTTAGGTGGAACATCCCATTACAGAATGCATAACTGGAATTGATATTGTACATCAAATGATTCGAGTGGCAAAAGGTAAATATTTTCAATATTTGACTTTTTTACATATATATAAAGTTATAATCTATATAAGAAGATAATGATGTTTTGATTTTCTTAATTTATTAAGTATAATTACATAGGTCATAAATTGAATCTTAAACAAGATGATGTACCTATTCAAGGATGGTCTATTGAATCTCGTGTATATGCAGAAGACCCTTACAAATATTTTGGTCTTCCTTCTATTGGTCGATTATATAAATACATAGAACCAATTGGAATTCCAAAAGTATATATATATATATATATTTTTTTTTTTTCTTATTTTAATTTTTAAGTGTGNAGATTTTAAGGTAAGATGTGATAGTGGTATTCAGGAAGGTAGTGAAATTAGTATATATTATGATCCTATGATTTGCAAAGTAAGTATTAGTTTAATTTAATTATTTCCAAATTCTAATTAATAATAATTCTGATTGTTAACAATAATAATAGTAATAATAATATTTTACAAATACATTTTGATAATGTTTAATTTTTCTGGTTAAGAAAACTGGGTTGTCTTGAACTACAAAAATCAAGACAAGATGTATGCATTAAGTATTAGATAATTGATAGAATAAAATTAGATCACTATAAAACCACAATTTTCTCATTTCTTCTACAAAACAGCTTTGTATTTATATATATATATTTTTTAATATTTTACTTTTATTTTCTCATAAGTTCATTATTGCATTACTACAGTGTGTATGTATCTATGAATGAGCCAAACTTTAAATTTGAAATCTGCTCAAATGAAATCACTTTATTGAAAATTTCAAATTAAAAAAACACTACGTGTGTGTGTGTATGTATGTATATATGTACATATATATATAAATGTATACACATATATATAAACACATGTGTTTTTTTAAATTTGATTTATGGTTGATATAAAAAAAAAATACAAAGTAATGCAATAACTGATAAATTTTATATAAAAATCAAATAAAATTAAAAGAAAACTAATTAATTGAAAAATATAAGATGAAAAATTTTATAAATTCATATAAAATATACATTCCTGTTTATGTGAATGTAAGGAAATATGAAATATTTTTTGTAATGGAAATATCATATTTGAGATATAAGAAAAAGTAAATTTTTACTAGGATAAATCTGTTGTTCTTAAAGAATTTTATTTTGAAGTTATTTACTATTCTCCATCCTCAAAATAATCTGTAATAATCAAAATAATTTTTATTAGATCTCTGTTAAAATTCTAAATTTTAATAACAAAAAGTAATATTAAAAAGATTAATTTTACATTATTGATGATTTTATAAAAATAAGATGATTAATGTGTTGTTTTATGTTTACAGTTAGTAACATATGGAGACACTCGAAGAGAAGCAATTGATACTATGATAAATGCTTTGGATTCCTATGTAATAAGAGGTAAAAATAAATTTGTTAACTATTAAATAATAAGAAGGATTAATTAGGATTACAAACATATTTATGTATGTTAAATTTAACATTAATGTAAATTTATATATGTTACTTTGTTGTTTAATATATTAGGTTTTTTATCAAAAAATTTCTTTTGTAGATGAGTAATAACACTGAAAAATGCTTGAAAATTTATATACTTTGAATTTGACTCTATTAGGATAAATTATAATATTAATTTAATTACAAATTATATTGGCTGCAATTAACTTCATTTTAATATGTTTATATTGCAAAAGAACATAATTGATTTCATTACAATAAAACAAAAATGCATTTATAGGTGTTTCACATAATATACCTTTATTACGAGATATAATGACAGAAAAAGCATTTGTAAAAGGAAATGTCACTACGGGTTATCTTAACAAAGTATATCCTGAAGGATTTAAAGGTAAAACACAATTTTTTATAATTTTCTCTTTTTAATTAGTTTGTATGAATTGTTCATCTCTAAAATTTTTATTTTATATAAATATTTTTATCAATATTACGTCTTTATTAATACTTTTAAATTAACAAACTTTTGTCAAATTTTCAAATATTTAAATCTTTTAATATAGGTATCTCTTGATTAACACAGTTAATTAATCCCTTGATCCTATCACATATGTCAAAATCACATTAATCAAAATATGGTATTTATGTTAAGTAAAGACAGCTGATAAAGCTGCATAAATTAAAACTTCTGCTGCATATATAAAGGGATTGCTGCAATTATTTTCATGTGTTAATCAAATCCAGTGTTAAGTAAAACCATGTTAAGCAACAGATATCTTTATGTATATATACAGTGAAAACTGCTTAGACGGCCACCTGCATTCGACGAGCACCTGTCAAAACGGGCAAAAATTTCTGGCACTGAATACTTTATCCATAGAGTCTTCGTATAAGTTACCTGTATTAAACGACCACCTGTGTAACGCGACCGCGGGCATCGATTTTTGGACCGAATCTACATACAACAACTGTAATAAGCAACCACTTCCACAAATATATATGGTCTAAACTATTGTTTAACAACACTTTCCCCCTCCTAATATAAAGAAATAGTCCAAACTCTTATTCTAACCCACGTCGGGCACTTCTCCCATCCTTGAAATTAGGTGTAGGTGTTAATGAATTAGTCTAGCAACAAAGGAAATTCATTTCAGTTTGTTCGAAATTGTCTGAAAAACAAAAGAAATGCAAAGTGCTGTCGTTAGAAGATTGTATTAAAGTTATCACAATAGCAATTAGCGGCGAAGTTTAACTGTGGGAAAACGAAATTTATTTTATCGTAGACCTACAGTATTTTCCTTGGGGGTGTAAAATATTGTACACGATACAATTAATTGGCTGATCTCATCGTTTGATAAAATTTATTTTTATTTATTTATTTATTTATTTTGAAGCTCATATACAGTACATGTGCGATAAATAGTTTCTGTATCAACCTACCTTATTTCTACGATATTTTTAGAAAAATAATATCCAAGTAATTTTCTCATGCAAAATATTCAAAAAACAATAAACGCATTAATGCAAAAATCAGTTTTACAGGCAACCTTCCTTTTTCCATTCCGCAATGACAATCGTGGAACGTAATGAAATCATATAATGAGAAAAAATAATAAAATCGTTTTATTATTAATTAATAATTTTTCTTATTGTACTTAAGAAAATATTTTAAAAAATACAGTATTTTTAAAGTTAAAATAAGATTAAACTAACGAATACCAAAACCAAAGTGATGTAGAGATACTATGCACTTGTTTATCGATTACGTAATACATGTAACTGAGGAGCGAATGAAAAGAACCAAGTTGAATTAAATCGGAAAAAAGAAAATGTGCATTATAATAGAGAAAATGCGACTATTGTATTAATCTTTAAAATATTAGTATTAAATATGTCTTATAAAATCACGACGACTCCTGTAAATTTAGTTATCCGATAAGAATAAAATACGATACCAATATAGCCCTATCGCTGAAAAAATTCACTTATTTTTGCTCACCGCGAGTTTTGCTTAGTAGAAATGGCTAAAAAGTGCACAAAATACGTANGATTGGGTATATTATGAATAAATTTTATATCTTCTTTTTCATTGATTGGCATTTTAGTAACAAATGCTAGAAAGTCTAAAAGTTCTTTGTGATTCTTATCTATCATAATATTTGTAAAATCGTAAATTATTAACTTATTATTATTAATAGCATTATTCTTAGCATCAAGTCTAAATTGCATTTGTTCTTTGTAAGTACCCAGTTTAGTCAACTCTAATTCAATTTTTTCGTATTTTTCATTCACCAGTTGTAGTTATTTTTTAAATTCTATAATTTTGGTGTGAATATTTTTAATTTCATCACGAATAAGCGTAAATTGGTTATCTGTCTTTTGGTTGCTAGCAGTAATAAGTTCAACTAGCTTTAGCCATAACTCTGCAGTTGAGATGTCAGATGACTCTGGATTAGTTGACTCGGTTAAACTATTAGATTTAGAATTCTCACCTGATGTATTTGGAGAAACTGTTCTTCTTGTTTCTGTATAGTCGGTTATTAGATTTATTTCAGATCCAGATGATTTTGCATAGTTAGATGGTTGATTTGAACAATTAGTAGGTGGTCTTCCTCTTTTTGTAGGTGTTTTTTGCAGCGGTCCAGGGTTAGATTCTATGCCAGATATTAGCAATAGTAGCAAAATCAGTTTATAATTAATCATTACAGCAAACAAAAAATATATTTTAAGGTAATTAACAAGAAAAAATGCCTTTGGTGAAGCAGAGAGAAAAAAGTCACCAACAGACTTGACAATCCAAGCACTCCCCTCTGTTTTAAATATTATTCAAGCAAGTGTTCCATATGGAATACAACTGATCTATTATATTGTGGAATCCAGGGTTAAGAGAACATTGTCTCTCACCCGTGTTCGTCTTCAGATTAGGAAGACCCGCCCACTCTGTCACTGGATGGGATTGTAAAATTGTCATTTTGTCAACAGAAAGCTCTAATGATCTTCCTTTAGATTTTTCCTGACACCAGCCTAGTTAGCGCGTTAGGCACATGATATAATGCTTTTATATTTTTGTCTGAGGGGGAGAATCGTGGACTCCCGATAAGACTTCGGCATATATTTGGGATCAAGAATGAGACCAGTTTAACAAATTAAAAACAAGATTTAATGAAAATAATAGAAACAGAAATATAAATACATGATTAAATGCAAACAGTTTCTAGAGTCCCTATTTAAGTGAGAGAGAGAGAGAGAGAGAGAGAGTTTACATCAATAAAAACATACTACCTCTGCTGACAAATGTTGATCCTTTCGTTGGACTGTTGCACAATCAGTCTTTGATTAATACACTTCTTATGGAGAGGTTAATTGGCGATTCTCGGTTGACAGAGATTTGATTCTAATTCCTGAGATGGAGACTTAGGGGGTTTTGGAGACTGATGATGAGGAGCCTGAGCAAGACTATGCACTTCCTATGGCTTTCATACTTCTACAAGGTAGTTCCTTCTATAGCCGTCTGCTTTGAGATCACAATTTCTCTCATTTTTATTCTAAATTCCCTCTCCAATTGGGTTTTAGGATTTGTAATACATCTGACAGGATATTCATTCTGACCCAAATGGACAGATGTTTGTCAGAGATGTATGATAACATCTCTCCCAAAGGAAGTTTTACTTCTCTTCCCATGAATTTGTCAGAAATGTGTTAAATTCAAAATCAGTTTAATATTTTAACAAATTCTTAAGAAAATTAAAATTATTTAGCCCCTGGATTCTCACAATATTATTATTTATCTAAAGCAAATAAACTACAGAACAATGTAATTTTGTCTTTGATTATTTTTAATTAATAAAAATAACAGTGTTCCATTCTGCCCTGGTTCCAGGGTCAAACGGACCAAAATGGATGATTTTTTATATCATAAATAAAGATTGACATATTTAATTTTTGGAAATTTGTATAAATATTATATTGTCAAGTAGTTAAAAAATAAACTTGTTCGTTTTCAAATCTTTATGTTTATCTTTTACTATTTTACAATACCTAAAATCTTAAGTGTTATATTCTGCCCTATTTTCCCCTATATATATGAAATATATACATGCCAGTCTCGATATTATCACTAGCTAAATGACACAAAGTTCTTCAGACAGATGTGTTTCAGCCTTAATAGCTTAGAAATTTGTATGATTATATCAGATTTCAAAATTCTTTACACGTATGTAGATCAGATTGATTTATAATCTACAATGTAGCCAGAGTTGTGATTTCTAGTCTTATTCTGAACCAATCTTTCTTTCAGACATTTTTAAATTATTTAATTAAATCAATTTTAATTTTTAAAGTCTATATAAGATGGCAAAATATCTACCTTTAGGTTAGGGATTCTGAAACTTTGAAAGGTCATGGACTCTTTTATAAGAGATATATTTCAGCAGACTGCTATTTTCAACTTTTAGCTTTTAGTCATTAATTAATAAACTACAATAATAATAAGTGTCTGAGGAATCTCATATACTTATTAATATTGCATAACAATCAAAATATCAAAGACAGATTGCATAGTTTATTAGAAATTACATATTAAGTGACCTATTACTATGGGTCACTTAAAACATGCAATTTCTAATAAACTATGTAATCTAACAGTCAAATAATAGCCAAATTTCATAATTAAGATCAGGCTGTTATCTTTTTTTTATGATTATATATCTGATTTATAAATAGAAAAAAATTTTATTTTTTTAGGTAGTCAATTAACTCAAATGGAAACTGAACATTTAGCCACTCTGGCTGCTTGTATTTTTGTTCGTGATGATATTCGCTGCAAAAATTTCTTAAATAGACCAAAGTAAGAATTTTATGTTTTATATATTATTCAGTTTTTATATTGAGATGTCTGTAAAGTTTAAAAATATAGATTGACTTCAATGTTTAAGGTTTTTTTATTATTATTCTCAAAGTTCAGAAATTCATGATATAAGCTATCTTTTAAAATAAGTCTATAATTAAAATTTCTCACTCCACTAAATCATCTCATTAGATTTTCAACATATATTAAATATATGTAAACTTAAGTAAAATATTGAATAGTTTTTGGATATTTCTGACTGTTTTTATAATTGTCCAATTAAAATAATAACAAAAAAATCAAAAAGAAACTTGTAAATAGCAGAATTATGTTTAAGATATATACTGTTTATTGTCAACTGTGAGGTCAGTCCCACCACAATATTGAAGATGTGTTGCAGATGATCCAGGCTTATACAGATTGTGTGGTCATAAAAAATGGTTGGGGAAAAAAAAACAGGATAAAAGTTTGTTTAGACAGTAAATTATATTGTATGGTGAAAATTGTCATTCTTGAGAACATATGTATATTTTGGTATTACATTACAATCTGATGTATGGTATATCTGATGAATTTCTAGATGCTTGTCAAATTTAAGTAATTGGATTTTCTAACTGTGAATGGAATAAAATTTAACAGTTTGTGCCTGTTAATCCACAATTGTATGTGGTAGTGGCAATTTGCTGCACCTACTAATTTTTTCATGGTTATTTTTTTATACCAAATTGACTTACTTAGGTGCACTTCTATGCTGTCCTCATGCTACGTGCTATCCATCTGACTGTAAAAAATTTTTAGCTTTTCATGGGCCTCAAAAACCACTGCTGAAATTTGCTTCCATGCATCTGTTCTTGTGTACAATTTTTTTTCCACACAATTGCATGCCTAAGATGGTGATTTTCCTCTCTGACATTATTTTTCAATGCTGTTTGTCATGCAGACTTCTCAAGACTGCCACAACAGGGAATCATGATATCATGGATGTTTGTCAACTATGCATAACATCATGACACAGTGGTCTTCAAGTTGCCTTGAATGCTTGTCTCTGTAAGATAGCTTAGAGCACTATGACCCTCAACAATTTAAATTTTTTGCAGCTTTATTTCGTGCCTGAAAAGTACAGAAAAATCATTTTCTGATCCTTCTGAAAAACACCTCAGCCCTTCCATCTTTCATTTCCAGCTGAACTCATTTACATTAGTTTATGCTATTGCAAAGTTGGGGATGCTTCCTGTAGGAGAAAGGTTAAGGACATTGTTCTGTAAACTAAACAATGTATGACCTTGAGATTTGATTTGTGTAGAAAAGACACATCACATTTTATGAAACTGGTTTAAAATTATTCCAGAGTTCCAGCCCCATGATAATATATATTTATTCCAGCATGAATATAAACTCTAATTCTTACATTTTCTCTTGGATTATGCCAGTTTCTCTTCTGTTTTGGTAACATTCTAAAGCAACAATCTGAGTCTTAACTCATTTTTTAGCTAGCACTGCATTTGCATATGCTTCCCATCTGGTACTTGATAGACATTGTCATAATTTTATACAGCCCATTGTTTGTTGAAGCAAGAGAAAAAAGTGTACATTTGTTTTAGGCAGGAGCAAAATTGACAGAATCTAATCAGCAATCCACAGCAGTCTTGCCAATTAGATTTAGTGAGTGTCCAACATATAAAATGAAGACTATGAAATAAATTTTATCTAAAGAATTCAGAAAAACATTTTCTTTTCTTTAATAATGGTTAATATTCGGGAATCTATTGTTNGAAAAGTTTTTCGATTTACACCAATAGCAATTTTGTTTAGAACAGTTTATATATGTATTATTAACCAACAAGGAATATTTATTTAGACAAAGTTGTAAGAATAATCGTTTAATATTCATATTTATATCAGTTATAATAAATCTGGAATCAGAAGGACTTTTTAAAATTTGAGAATACCAGGGGTGATAAGCCGATTGCAATATTGAGTTTTGATCCTGGGTTATTGATTGCGATATGGCCGATTCCATCAGTAGTGTATAAGCGTTATTTCAATTTATGTCAGATTTATCTAATAAAACACTTGAGATTCCATATGTTTGAAGTATATTATTGAATTTGTATTGCCAAGTATCTTTGGTGGAATTTAGAATATTAGATTGATACATATTTTGATGTAAAAATTTTATATTCTCATCATCTGTATTATTTATAAGTCGGTAATAGAATCTTATTAATCTGTTTAAAAACCACGGAAATAGTTGAATTCTATTTGTTTCTGCTCTAACAGAATAACCTAGTACAGTTCTCTCAAGCTTGAATAATTTACGTAGATAATTAATATGAAATTTTTGGAATTTGTAAAAAAAATCAAGAGCCCATACTGGGCTGGTGTAAAAAATGGAAGGAAGAATTATAGCATTAAAAATTTTTATGTGAAGTTTTAGGTCAGATATTTTTAACATTGAGCATAAATATATAGTATTGTCGATAAGCGAGTTAATTTTTTTAGTACTTTAAAATGGTGTTGAAAAGCTCCATTCCAGCTAAAGGTAATTCCCAGGTATTTTATGTTGCTGATAATTTCTGGAGGTTTGCCGTCTAGATAAAAGTTTTTTTCTTGATTATATAATTTAATATTTTTCCTGAAAATAATTATTTTTGTTTTTGAGGCGTTAATCAATAAATGTAACAATGATAAGTATTTATTTACTCTATCAAGTTTATGTTGTAATGTTATGCGAGTTGGTGCTAATAGTACTAAATCATCTGCATATAGAATATAGTGAAAAATACGACCATTGATATATATTCCTTCATTATCCTTATCAAATAAGTTGTTTATGCCATTTATGTAGAAGTTGAAAAGGTATGGAGAAAGAGATTCACCTTGAAGTATTCCACGTTTTGTAATAATTTCTGGACTAAGTAAGTTGCTATTTACAATATGTAGTTTATAAGAAGAAAAAAGATGCATAATCAAATTTGAAAAACTGTTACCTGCACCAAATTGTTTTAATTTATTAACCAGAGTCAGAACATGAACAGAGTCAAAAGCTTTGGTGATATCAATGAAGACAGCATAAATTTTCCTACTTTTTTTTGTAAATATATTTGAATAATTGAGGATAGCAAGAAAATAGCAAATTCTGTACCCCTGGATTTGGTGAAAGCATATTGAAATTCAGAGTTAAGCTTCATTTCTTGGGTCCATCACTGGAGACGGTTTACTAAAATAGACGTGAAACATTTCCTTAATTAATTAATACCAGAAGAAGAGCAATCGGTCTATAATTTTCAGGTTCCAAACGATGCCCTTTTTTTGTAGATCATAATTAGTTTTGCTGTATTCCAAATTTCTGGGTATTTAGACGTTTTATAAAAGAAATTGAATGAGTCAAGCAAAATCTGTTTTCCTGATGGAGGCAGGGATTTGATAAATTTGGAAGTTATTAGGTCAATGCCAGGGGCAGATTTTAATTTCATTCTTCGAATTGAATCCTCAAGTTCGTCAAAAGTAAACAGCAAATCAAACAAATCATTATTCGGATTAAAGGATATTAGAGTTAGTGGATTAGCTATGTTTGGAAATCTGTTAAAGAATTGAATCCAAGTTGATGTTTCTATATTTATTCGATGATCTAATTTTTTTCCTCCTTAGCCTCTGTATTGTAGTCCAGAAGAAATCTGAATTTTTGGTAGAAATCAACTGATGTTGTTTTAAATAGTTGATCTNTATTGAAGTTGTAATATCACTAGAAAAGCATTTAAAGCACATAAAATCATATTAAAATATATACATTTACAAGTATGTACTGTATTTACAGTACATGTATTCGTAAATTTAGATTACTTTTTTCTGTACTATATTAAAAACTAAAATTTATTTCTGATAGCTTTTGTTAGGCACATCCTTCTTATCTTATTAATTAAAGGTTCATTACCTGGGGGTAGGTGCACCCGGTAAATCGTCATGGAAAATACTCCAATATTTCTACAATTAATCAAAAAATCCAGTCTCGCTCTTGCTTTTGTAAGAGTGATAATTGCTTTGCGATATTCGTTAGCTGGCATAGCTAACGAATATCACAGTCTCACTCTTACAAAAGCAAGAGCGAGACTGATTTTGATTAATTGTAGAAATATTGGAGTATTCTCCATGACGATTTACCGGTTGCACCTACCCCCAGGTAATGAACCTTTAATTAATAAGGTAAGAAGGATGTGCCTAACAAAAGCTATCAGAGATACTAGAAAGAAGGTATATTCGATGATAACTAAAATTTATTTATTTGTAAGCTTAAAATAGATCCTTATTAGCCATATATTATTAAAAATGCATTAATAAATAAAATACAGAACCGGGAATGGTAATAGTTTAGCCTAGTGACAAGTAGATTCGGAGACAAGTAAATTCGACTTACGTCGCCTCTCCTGGAACCAAGTACTGATGTAAGGCGAGATATACCTGTATTTAATTATACGTAATATACTTCAAAATTTTGATGTTTTTTTTTTTGGAAAATTAAACTGTTAAAATTTAACATTTTAAAAATTTAGGCATTATCTACATACTACTAGACCTCAACAGTGGAATTTAGTAGCCAATGTAGAAGGAAAAAATGTAGAATTAGATATAGAAGAAGAAGAAGGAGGCCAATATAAAGTAAAAAATTTATTTTAATTTAATTTATTAATTAAATATATATACTGTATATTGTTATTAATATATTTTATTGGAAGCATTAATTTACATTTATTTATAAAATTAAGTTGCTTGCTTCAAACAGTGTATATATCTTACAAAATTTATTTTTGAAATTTTAAAGCTATTTGTATATGAATAAGATGTAGTCTTAAAATGAAAATTTAGATACTTTATGCATCTAAACTTTTAAAATTTGTGTTGTAAATAAATTATAAAAGAATCTATGTACATTATAAATAATTCTTAAATTATCACTTTTCAAGGTGAATGTGAATGGACGTGACATAACACTCTCAGGAAATATATCTTTATCAGTTCCAGTAATGGAAACAGTAGTAGAAAGTCATCCTTATACAGTTCAAATGATTTCACATTCACCAAATGGAATAATTCGTATTCGTTTTAAAGGAACTGCAGTAAGTCTGTATTTATAATTTTTCATAAATTTTCTTATAATCATACATAATATTTATAGAGCTGTTTATACAAAAAAGTTTTATATTTTCTATTAATTTTTATAGTATAATGTCCACGTGTTAACAGAAGTTGCTGCAGACTTTTCGAAACTAATGCCTGAAAAACCAAAGGTAATTAAAGACAGTTTTGTTTAATTAATACAACTTTTATAATTGTTATCTTATTATTTATGTATATTTTTTCATTTTAAAAATATTATGAGTATTAAATTGAATATTTCTTCAATATGATTACTGCTGACATATAGTTTGTTTTTTTGTTACAGATGCAATGATGATGATAAATATTAATAACAATAATTAAATATAATATTAGTGTATACATTATTGGAATAAAAATATGGCCACTTATATAGTTTTAACCAAAAATCTTTTAATTAAATATGTTTTTGTCTTTTAGATCTGTTTCTAAGAATATAATAATATAGAGAGAATAATATAGTAAATTTCCAAAGTCAAAAGAATTGTATCATTTCATAAAAAATGATTAATTAGTTTTAATTATCAGTTAATTAGCAATTAATCAATAAAACCATGATAACATATATCTGATTATATTGTTTGGATAAAAACCTTCCTTCATTAATAAATTTTATTTATATTTTCATACATAATTTAAGGTATCAAAAAGCTATTTTATCATTTAGTCTAGTCAATAAATTTACTGTTTTAACTTTTAAGATAACTCATTTTTTATAATTATAAGCTATAACAAGCTTATCTATGATGATTATAAATTAATTCAAATTTATTTTAGATGGATGTTTCCAAAGTGGTTACAGCACCAATGCCCGGAGTGGTTAAATCTGTTTCCTGTGAAGTTGGACAAATGGTAATTACAAATTATTTAATTTTCAACAAAAAAAATGAAAAATGACATAAGAGAAATGTAACAAAAATAAATTTTGTAATTCAATAAAAATGAACTTCAGGATAGACTTAATAATTGCATATTTTGATTATGATAATATTTAATTAAAATCAATTTTTATTCATAGGTTTCTGAAGGTCAGGAAGTGTGCGTTATCGAAGCCATGAAAATGCAGAATAGTTTATGTATTGGAACAACTGGAAAAGTAAAAGCCATTCATTGTAAAATTGGGGACACAGTAGAAGAAGAACAATTATTAGTTGAAGTTGAATGATTTTAGTGGCATTTATATTTTTAGAAATTATAACAAAATTTACATTTGTAGGGGAATTTAAAGTTACAAACAGTTCACTGATGATTCTCATTACACAGTCAATTTTTCAAAGTAGGTTATATTTTAATAATAAAAATTGTTATACATGGTTATGATATTTAAAATAGAATATAATTTTATAAAATTAAGAATATATAGGAAAACTATCTATTCTTTTTTGTATGGTTAAAACTGCAATACAGTATAATTGGTGCCGTCTATGCTCGTGTTTGAAAAACGATGGTGCCATACAAATATGAGATATCGAAATTAAGCTGTGATTGATTATTTACTTTTATGTTTTAAGCTCTCTTTGGTGGTCCTGCAATAATAATGCATTGGCATATTATCATCATATAATTTCTTTAATTTAATGAAATTAATTATTTGCATTTAAAAAAGAAAATGCATGACAAAATGATTTATAATGATAAATTGTGAAATTGTTATTACAATTTTATTTGAATCATTTATTATTTTTTTTTAATGATTTCTAATTTCAATTAAAATTTCCACAAAATATTTTTACTGCCAGCTCAATCTATAACAACGGCTCATCAAAAATATTAGAATAAAATTTTGTTTTTTTCAACAAAAAAAATGAAATTTGATTATGTTAAATTATGTTCAATCTTAAAAGAACATTTTGTCAAAAATAACAACAATGTTATTTTTTTTAAAGTCAATTGTTCCTTAGCCAATAAACTCATGAAATTTTCATTTTAAAAACTATTTTCTTCTAAAAAAAATTAACTTACTTTATTACATATAATAACAACAAAAAGATATCCTGATCAAATTTCATTTAAATAATGTAAGATTAATATTTGTAATCGTTTTACATAAAATTTATTTTTGTGGAAAGGAAAGTGTTAAGTAAATGCCATTGCAGAATAATTGTCCGAAAATTTAATTAATTTTGGATTATAAAATATTTCTCTTATTTATAAAATCATAAAATTCACATATATATATTTACCAATGTTACTTTTAATTTTTCTGAAACTTTATTTTTGGATCTGTATTTATATACATTTCTAGTTTAAAATTATAAAAATTCAGAAACTCATTTTACTTCCAAAACTGGAAAACAATATTTATTTTATTGCTCAGTGACAAGGATTTAATATACATTTAATAGTGTAAGAATTCTGTGCATTGTGTGACTGCTTTTTAATTTTTTTTATTTTATTTTATCCCTTTCTCCAACAAAAGCATTCCACAAAGAGTGTGTGATATTCCAAATTTTTATTTTGTTATTTTTCTATCTATTAAAAGGACTTATAACTGAAAAATGTATTCCATATGTTTTTTGTGTGCTACTGGACTCTTTTATACTTTAACCTTGTGTGCTCATATTATTAATATAAAAAGTATTCAAGTAAAATTAATTTTATATTGATCTAACAATGAATTTGCATTTAAATATAAATAAAAGAAAATATTATGCATTGTGAGTGTTAATTTGTTAATTATATAAATAAAAATGTTCTTCCAAGGCACAATGTATTTGCCTGCCAGCATTTCTTCCTTTATACATGTTATATTTTTAAACAAAATAAAGTTAATAAATTGTGCTCCTATTGGAATGCCATATATTTCTTTCATTCAAGATTTCCTTAGAAGCCATAAAATAATAATAATTTATTTCAAAATTGAATAACACATACGCCAATATTACTTTTTAAATTTTCTATTCATATTTTTTTTAAATGATCGCCAGAATTTCAGAATGTAGATCTATAAGCATTAAAATTTTATTCTGCTTTCACCCCGAAGACGTCCACTTCTGCGAGCTGCAGGACATTTTTAGACGCTTCCTCGCATGTGTCGCAGGGTTTGACTATTTGGATGCTGAGGTATCGACCTCGAGTCGGACAGGGTTGACACACCAATCGCGCCAACCCCCCGTCTCCCACTCCCGCCCCTTCGTGTTTAGCACAGAGTGGATTCAAATCGAAATGCTTGTTACTGTAAGCGTTGGAAAGTCGAGTGTTCCCGACTCGAACTTCAAAATCGTGAAGACGTTCAGCTGAAAGAAAGGAAAAGTTTTATTGATTTTCATTTAATTTACTGTGAAACATGTCAGATACTCACACCACTTTCTTCTGTTGAGTATATTAACTCCGGTAACAATGTATTCCTCCTCCAAATCGACTTGCCACCAAGGAAAGGTGTCAGCGTTGTCGCCGTCTTGCGTGTGAGCAAAATATGGGGCCTGGAATCCGTCTATGTTTCTGTTTCCGTCCACGGCGCGGTCGGCAGTGTATCGAACGTTGTTCAGAACATATATTGAACTCTGGTGGGCCGGTTTGTTCAGTGCTTGGCTTTCTGCGAGGCGAAACTGTTAAATATTTATTCTGCACGCTACTGAAACAAATTTTTACTCACCTTTATCGATAGTATCTTTATATAAGGCCTGAAAATGTATATATAAATATATATGTGCCTTTAAGTTCAGATGATTAAATCCTATTTATAAAGTATATCTTAACCTGAGCAAAGTAGACGTATCCGGTTTTGTCTTGCCCGTTAATATCCACTGTGCTGTTTAGACTTTGACACAATCCTTCGCCATTTGTTGAAATTCTAATTATAATTAAATATATAAAAAATCAATTAAAATTTTAAAAATTATAAATGATTCCTATTTTATATCATTAATAACACTATTATGCAACATACTAGTTGCAACGAATAGGGTTTTAGGGGTGATTTTACCATGCCAAAAAGTGAATGCCAGAAATTTCGTATCTCATAACATTTTTTATCTTTATAATTTGTATATCTTTGCCTTAAGCGTGGGGTGATTAAACAATTTGTCAAAGCTCTAAGTAGAAAAAGGCTCATGTTAAAAATTTCCGGCTCGAGAATATTCGACAGAGAAGACTTTCACAAGTCTTGATATCAGGAAACTTTTGCGTGATGCTATATTTGAAAGCGCAGCATGCAAGTTTTTGAAGATATTGTTACGCAGTTTTTTGGTAAGAAGAAGAATCCAAATTATTCAAATATTGTCAAAAAAGATACTAAATGTATTCAAGGATCGCTTCATCTATACTAATATAAAGAGGTAATGTTTGTAAGTATGTATGTAAGTTTGTTTGCAGCAGGTAATCTCCGAAACTACTCATCCGATTTCAAAAATTCTTTCACCAATATTTAGAATGGAACCTCAGGGTGGACATAGGCTGTATATTATTCCGTTAAACATTCATATAAATTAAAATATATAATCTAGGTTAAGGCTTTTATGTCCAACAGATGGCGCTACGAGTACGAC